GCACAAGACATCCATTGGACATCCAGACTTGGTGTTTCGATCTGGTCCAAATGTCCATGGACTTACAAGGGAAGTTTCACAACTGTCCGAAACCGATTTGATTCTCCATGAAACATGTTGTTAAACACGAAAATCTAAGAGACACGTATTTTTTTATACGTGCGCTAACGTATGTTTAAGGCGTGAAACATCCTTTTAAAAAAAAAAACGATATTTCTATTTCGAGCTGAATACCGTCGGAAGTATAAAAGATGGAAAAAATTTTTTAAATAAAAGTTGTACGGTTTCAAGAGTACTTCAATGTTGTGAAGAAAAAAAATTTGTTTAATTTTTTTGTTAACATTGTTAAACAAAAAAATTAAACAAATTTTTTTTCTTCACAACATTGAAGTACTCTTGAAACCGTATAACTTTTATTTAAAAAAATTTTTTCCATCTTTTATACTTCCGACGGTATTCGGATCGTTTTTTTTTCAAAAGGATGTTTCACGCCTCCCAAGCAGCAAAGCAGGGCATCTTGACCAAATCAAAGTCAGGTCGCCCTAATTAAGTGAAAAATTACTAATTTTTGACATAAAAAACGTCTTAGCAGTTAAATATTGTTTGAAGTCTTCTGTACAGGTCGAAAATTACGAAATTTAAACCTATAAAAATGCCTTCAAAATTTAATGACTTCAAAGTTATACATTAGCTTATAAATGACTAAATTTTGACCAAAGCTATGCCTTCAAAGTCGATTTAACTTATAAGTCAAAATTAAAGCTCTGTTTGAAGGAAGTGTGACCTGATTGTATCACCTAATTTCAACCTCATAAGCGATATGACTTAATTGGTTAGGATTACCTAATTTTTTACTATATATAAATCGTTTGTGTTCTTGACTAATATAGGGAATATCTAAGGCACGAAATAAACCTTGTGGTCGCTGGAAATTAACTACAAAGTTGAGATTACCACGGAAAATGACTTATAAGGAAAATTGATCTAAGGTTAGGTCAAAATGCCCTGCAAAATTTACCCTGAAAGTTAATTATTGGTCTTGGACCTTATTAAAAGTCGCCATCCTGTTTGCTGTACAATCGCATCAGTTATTTTCTCTATGTTGATTATGAAGGAGTAAAAAATCGCTTGTTCAAGCAAGACACGTTTTTTTCTCTGTGCTGAGTGTTGTCATGAAAGGTTAAAATTTTTAAAAGCGTGATCGCGGCTTTGACCGTATATAATTATAAGTTAGGTTAAGTTAATTCCGTGATACATACTTACGATCGCGATGTAGCAGACATTTTTCGATATGTATCGATCCAGCGATTTCGACTTTGAGTCAATCTAACTTATAAATAGGGAAATTTGACTTGTTAGTCAGAATGCCTTAATGGTCGACAAGATGACATCAAAGTCAACGATTTTGAAGTAAAAATGCCCTGATTAAGGAAATTTACTCTCAAAGTTAGACATTTAGCCTTAGCAGTAAGGAAATTCGACCTATAGGTCAGTATTTGGACGAAAACATTAAATCAGCCATTATTGTAAGATTGTTCTGTCCGCCATGATATACTAAAACGCTTTCTAAAATTGAGCATTAATAAAAAATAAATTATATTATATCTCTCGGAATGTTAAGGATTGAAAAAAATATCTATTTTATGCTACTGTTAGCGTAGGTGCGAGATTAAAACATTTTTATTATACTAAGTGCAAAAATATATTGTTGTTAAATAATTAACGATTAATTAATAATTGTTTAAATTATATATTTTCGCAGGCGCGTTGATTTTAACGAAGTAAACTAAAAATCTGTATAGAAAATTTTCTTTCGCACTTATATTTCTGTCACGTATCATGCGATATTCGGTTTCAGAACCGACGTAAAGAAGGACTCTGTTACTATTTTATTTCGAACTTCCATGGCTGGTCGGAACCATATCAAGCACATGTTATAGCTGTAGTGTGATTCTCCGTCTTGGTAGAATTATTATGGAAATGTACAGTGTTGCCCTCTCGGCGACAAACACTGAGTCGTCGAAAGAAGGGAGGGCACAAATTGGTCAGAATTAGGTCAAAATTACCAAAATATTACCGATATTCGACCTTTTATTAGGTTTATTTGACCAAATCGGACTATGACTTATAAGACGAAATGCCTACCATTACTTAATTTCGACCGTAAAATTACTTCAACTTTATTCCCCACTTACCTTCTTTCGACGTCGATTCGACGTAAATTGGGATTGGTCAAACAGACTTTTCAACCTATTAGAAGGTCGAATACACGTAATTTCGCCCTATTTTGCTGCTTGGGCTTAAACATACGTTAGCGCACGTATAAAAAAATACGTTTCTCTTAGATTTTCATGTTTAACAACATATTTTATGGAGAATCAAATCGGTTCCGGACAGTTGTGAAATTTCCTTGTTAGTACGAATATTTTAAAAACGTACGTTATTCAACGTACAAAGTATGTTTACATTTGGACATTTTAAAAATGTTCATCTCATGCAAAAAATTTTTTAAGTCTGCCCGTGACGTGTTGCTTTCGCTGACTTGACAAGTGAAAATTTGTTTAAGATCGCACGAGAAGTTTTACTTTTGTTACCTCCGGTAACGAGAATTTACGAAATTAAAGCTTAGTTCAGACAAGCGGCAAGCGACGAGTACCAATAACTTGTTGTTCGCAGTGATAAGAGTTTGGAATCTTTTGCTTCCAGCGTACAGTCAGAAGCCAGTGGAGAGCAGAGTAAAGCCCCTCAAAATAACTATCTTACTCATTCTGTTTAAACTATAAACTTTCAGACACACTTCGTATGCAGAATATTTGATCTAGATAACATATAAGTACTGTGTGATAAATTTAAATTTCTTTTTAGGTCACAAATTAGATGAAATATGATTCTTATAGATTTTTTTGTCATTAAAAACGAATCTGCAAATAAAATTGCGATTTCACGTCACATATTTGAGAAAATTGAACTTAAAGTTACTAAAAATGGGGGAAGTTTGGAACGTTCTTGGAGCGATTTTTTCAAAATAGTTTGGCCCGTTTTTCCTTTTGTACAGTTACATTTGCATGCCAGACAACCAACAGAAAACACACCGATCGAATACATGCGTCGGAAGGCACCCTTAATGGCGAAAAACTACTCGTGGAAAATATGAAAAAATTCTCCCAAAATCAAAAATGATTTGGTCCATTTCTCCTTTTGCACAGAGCTACATCCGAATGTCAGGCAAAAAGAAAAAATATCCCGATCGAATACATGCGTCGGAAGGCATCCTCAATGGCGAAAAACTACCTTCGGAAAATTTAAAAAAATTCTCTCGAAGTCAAAAATGATTTGGCCCATTTCTCCTTTTGCACAGAGCTACATCTGCATGCCAGGCAACAAATAAAAAATACCCCGTTCGAATACATGCGTCGGAATGCACCCTAAATGGCGAAAAACTACCCTTGGAAAACTTAAAAAAATTCTCCCAAAGCCAAAATTGATTTGGCCCATTTCTCCTTTTGCACAGAGCTATATCTGTATGCCAGGCAACAAATAAAAAATACTCCGATCGAATCGGAAATGAAATTGTCCATATTTTACTGTAATTTATTCGATAAATTACGGTAAATTGGTCAATAATTTTTGGAAGAAGATAAAATGATAATTTTAAAAAAATTATAAAAATAATATAATTTGATGTGTGTGTGTAAAAGCATTTATCCTTTAGTTATTAAATTCAAAAGGCTTCTTTTATCTCATATTTTCATTTTGTTATTACATATTAGTATACAATATAATATATTGTATAAAAAATAACTTTAAATAAGTTCTTTATTAGGATTCTGAAAAAATGAAACGAGTACTGTAACCTTCAACTATTTTGTACATTATATTATGATTTTTTTTTATTTGTATTTTTATATTTTTTATTTTATAATTAAACTTTCATTTATTTGCTTGTTATTTCAGCGACTAAACTGTCAAAGTAAAAGCTAAGGCATATTTATACATAAAAGATAATATCTTTCTGTAATTGCACTATTATCGAAATATCTATATAGAAATATAGTATAATTTTGAGTACTTAAATAAAAAGCTAGAGTTTAAAATATAAAACAAAGAATTGTGAAAAACGGATAGTGAAATTTTTAATCTTTATTGCTTTCTTGGTCCCTGTTTCAAATCTCTAGGGGATCGTATATTGAAAATGGGTTTTAGCATTGATTAGATTTTACGTTTAGATTAGTGAACAGTATTATTATTCACTCAGCGATTTATATTCTCGATACGAATATTAGAAGAATATTGTTTTATATTATGGATTAATGTGAAAAACATAAATAAACCTATTTATGCATGAAGCTATTAAAAAAAACAACAAGTTTTATCAAAATTACCAATAAATTATCATTTTACCGTAATTTAATCTTAAGCTGTAATTATCAAATTGAATTTGACGATTATTTTACGTTTCTAATATCCGTTTCTACCAATGAAGTTTAACTTTAATTTCGGTTCAATTATCTCTTCATCTTCTTTTAGTTTTAAGAATAAGAAAAAAATGAAGAGTAATTGATCCGAGATTAAAGTTAATCTACGGTAGAAACGGCCCTAGATCGAATTGGCTTAGTTACACCGTGCGCTTAGTCCGCGACCTATACGATAGGTGTCTTTGTTTAACCTACAGGATAAACAAGGACACCTATTGTATAGGCCTAAATGCACGCTGTAAACGTAACCATTTTCCCCTTTGGTAAGGGGAGGGTGAACTTCGTTTCACATGGAAATTCGTGCGCCTCTTTGCGGAGGGGGGGGGGAGGAGGGATCGAACTCGCTTCGCGTGGAAAGTGAACGTAATTGAAAATAAGATTTCAATGCTTAAAGCGTCATATAGAAACTAGCTAGAATAATCCGCCACGTGTTTCAAAGTGTGCATGACTCAGTATTATGTCGACTTTAATGATATAACGTATAAAAATTAAAGTTATTGGTAAGGTTTAACGTTCTACTTAACGGTCACACGCTCATGGAATCATTTCATCCTTGTCGTTTATCAAATGTTAAACGAGGACAAACGATGCTCGCGAGCATTGCGAGCTTTAAGTGGAATGCAGCCTTAGTCTTTTCGCAATCATTACCTCGCACATATAAAAGAATTCTGTCTCTTAGATTTTTATGTTTAACGTCATATTTCAAGGAGAATCAAATTGGTTCTGGACAGCCATGGAATGTCCCTTGTAAGAATATGGATGATTTTCCAATAAGAATGCAGCGTAGTAATACGCGGTCGCGGGAGGAGAACAAGAAGAGTCGCGCGTCGAGAAGGCGTCACTTGATATCGGGACGTTGAGGCGATTACAAGTCAAATCAAATTCGGTTTTGTTTTATAATTCTTCTCAAATTCTGGATTATCACCGGCTGACTCTTATAGTTAATCATCGTGTTTTATGTGTTTCTCTAAAATATCTAAGAAGCCGTCTTACGCGGCTTACACGTTGATGGCATGTTGCGCAGTTAACGGGTGTAGCCATCTTGGATTGAAATCTCCGTTACACATTTCGTACAGTATTTCTAAATGAAAAGTATTATAAATAGTGCAGTGTTTATAATGAAGAGTTCAGTGTTTTATCAAGTTTATTTGAATAGACTGATCACGGATAAAAGGATAATGAACTGGTTTGAGAAAGAGGAATTAACGGAAATTTTTATGAGTAAGTTCCTGAGACATATTTATGCATGAATTACGTTTCCAAATTGAACTGCAATTAATGATCATCGTAATAATTTACAGGGTTGACAAGTAACGCGTTACTTGTAACGCTGTTACTGTGTTGATTTCGTTACCTTGTTATAATAACGATTTGGTAATGACATTGTGAATTTTTTATGATGGTAATGCTAACATCAGAGTTAGAAAAGTCAATCGTTACTTGTAATGGATTGAAAAAGTCATTCGTTACTGAAAAAAATAACTCTTAATTTGTAACGCGTTACTTTTTAGTAACGAGTAACGTTACGCATTATTCGTTATACTTATAACTTTTTCAGTGTAACGCGTAATAGTGACAAGTTATTTTTTAAAATGACTTTTCTAACTTTAGTACAACCTTAGCGTTTAATTAGTTAGTGTTACCGTAAAAAATTGCAGCATCGTCATCAAATTGTTTACTATAAAAAATAACGACAAAGTAATTGAAAAGTAACGTTTGCCGACCCTGATAATTTATATAGATGCATTAATCAATAAGAAAAAAATTGTAATTTTTTAACTTTTCTCTAGTGATTTATAGATGGATATCATGGTCGAATTTAATAAAAATACATTCTGTCTCAAGTCACCTGCGCTATCTCACCAAGTCACCTCCATTTACGGTACGTATAAGAAAAAATTAATATAATAATAAATTTTATGTAGCATATATTCTTAATGTAAGAATAAATTCCGCTTTACTACTCTCTAAATTTTTTGTAGTGAAATCTCACTTCAAAAGAGTGAAAATACTACTACTTTTGAAAAAGTGTGAAAGTATTTCACTTCTTGAAAAACAATGACAATATTTTATTCTTTAGGAGTGAAATTTCACTCCTAAAGAGTGTAATCTCACTTCAAAAAAAAAGAGTGAGATATTTCACTCCTTTTTTGGTGTGAGATCACAGTGAATGACAGATTTCCTATCTTAATCAATTTTAACGATTAATATCTTGTTTCTCGGGGCAGAGTGATACTTTTTCTAAATTTGTTCGTTTAATGTAAAAATACGTCGAATAAGTTTTATCAAGATTGGATGTAAGGGTTACTAAATTTATCATTTATTACTAAATGAAATCTCTTCAAAGGAGTAAAATACTGCCACTCTTTTTCAAAAAGTGAAATATTTTCACTCTTTTTCAAAAGTAGCAGTATTTTCTCTCTTGGACTGAGATTTCACTCGAAAGAATTTACAGAGTAATATATTCTCATAAGTTAAAAAATATCTGGTACTAATCTATTCTTCAGAAGAACTTCCTCTAAAATTAAAAATTCTTTTGGTATTTATTTTAGAAGATATTATTACAAAAATGAGTAGGAAATTCTTAAGCTGAGAATATAATTTTTTCGGTGTATTGTTACGCACTTTTATGAGACCCAAATTAATAGAAGTAATACTTTATATCTACTATGCCAAATTAATGTATTACTGCTTTTAATAAAGAAAATAAATTAACATTACTTTATAAAGTAAGGTCAGGAACATGCAAATAGAATTTTAGTCTTCATATCGTTAAAATGACTTTAATCTCTCACAAAATGTAATAAAAGTACGTATTTCTTTTACTCATATCCACATATTTAATATGGCGTCATTTAAAAAATACTTCACTTAGAGGGAGGAGAGGGGATTATCAAAAGGATTACCCATCGTTTATGTATACATATAGTATATATATATATATATATATATACTCGTATATATAAAGGAGGAAGGGGGGTAAAAAATCCATTTTAATAAACGTATTTTTTGAATGATCCCTAAAACAAATATACAAACACCAATAAAAATTATTTGCTCATTATACATTAAGCTATTTTCTGTTTAGTTCGTCAAAAGAATGTAACCAGAATGAGTACGTAATCTGGAGGTCTGGTAATCCTCAGAAGAAATGAAATATTATTTAGGTATTTATTATTAATTAGTATTATAAAATTTTTAAATTTATAAAATTTTCTTTAGTATTGTTTATATAATTTTGTTTTAAAATTTGATTGAAAAAAGGATTTTTCTTTTAATTATTATCTGTCATTGTTATTTTTAATTATTTATTATCTTTATTTTTATTTTTACTTTACTTTGTTATATATTCTATATGAAAATATCAAATTTAAGATTTTTAATTCGATACATCTTGTTGAGTATATGAGAAATATTTAAGGAAGTATTGTCTAATTCAAAAATCCATTTTTGTAATAATGATTTATTCTATTACATTTATTCTATTCAAATCAAAAAGTCCATGCAAATAAAATATAAATAAGAAATATTCTTTTCTAATTTTTTGCAGATTTATTTTATATATAATATTTCATCCATGGCCGAAAACCTTTTTTACATAACATACATCTGTATTTTGCATCTGGATTCTTTCAATCTGTCACGCGTCATTAAATTTCTTTTTAAGACATAATTGATGTACCCATCGTTGGTATGTATTACGCATAACTATAAGTCTTTTGCGGTCACTAAAACAATATTGACAAACATCTTTCATACAATTTGATGATTTTAATAAGGATTCGGCTACTATATTTCTATACTCGGCTGATTTAAAGTTTGTATCGAATGGTTTATTATGTATTATATTCGCTATATAATATATTACATACATGCCATAGTTATATGCATCACTTTGAAGAGGTCTATCATTGCATGTTATTTCATGCCATGATTTATCACATATGTGTTTATTTGTATTTAACAAGGAACTTTCCTTCAAATAATTTTTAAATGCTGTAACTGCTCATTCCTTATCAGGACTTACTAAAAATTGTGGATCTAAATGTAGACTAGTATGTTTGTTAAAATTAGCTATTAAAAGATACCCAATGTGATGCATGTAAATAAGGAAGTATAATAACATCGTTCCATTAATAGGATTTGTTATATTATACATACGCCATTGTGCGTTTTTAGATCTTTTATAAAAATCTCCTATCATATAGTATGTATAATTCGTAGGAACATATACAAAATTATGAGAAATATTATTTAACAATGATATCGTTAAACAATCATTAATTTTGCCATCAATCCAATTTTTATCCTTTAAGGTATGGAACTCTTCTCCATTAAGATTATATAAATCAAATCCTATTATTGGCGCATTTGTTAACGATCCGTATTGCCTAATTGTTAGTGCAGAATCAGATGACTGCATGTAATAGTCGACATCTAGAAATAATCCATTATCAAGTGCATTTGCATGAGTCGAACTTTCGCTTAAATTTAATTCTGGTATATCTAATATTTTTGTATCTTTGTTTGATTTAGGCGTACTTGTATCTAATTTGTACTTTTTAGCTATGCGCTCTAACAAACGCCTTTCGAAGTGGCTATACAAAGGCTTTCGTTTTCTTTGCCATATTTCTTCAATTAATGCGTTATTTATATTCTGTACATTTTGACATCGAATACTACGTTTTTTGCGTTTTAAAGGAACATTTAATTTTATTTCTGCGTATATTTGTTTATTATAATTTTTCATTTTTTTAATGAAACGTCCAACTTTCAAATTTACTTCGCCATTTAACACATATTTTTTTATTATGTTAAAATAACTTTCAACAGTCGCAGCATTGCTTAATCTAAGTGTATCTGGTGTAACCATTTTCAATAATAATGCCGACCACATAGGAACAAAAGGCATATAATGATTTGTAATATATTCGGCAATTATTGGAGCATAATATCTATTAGTTTCTTCTACACTACTATCTTAAATTTTACTTTTGAGCTCGTATAATTTGGAACTATATCTTTTAAAAAATGGCGAATCACTAAAGAAATCGGCCTTCTAGTTTATAATTTTCATCTAATAAGTTTTCATTGCTTTTAATATCAGAGTCGACATCAATCACATCATCATCATATTTATATGTTGTCATATATATATACTTGTTAATATTAATGATACAATTATGAGCTTCTGTAGAACAAGAAGTCAATAATATAGTCATAAATTGTCCATAACAATAATTCAAATCATCTAAAGTATCACAGTGAATTAGTATACCCATGCATTCTAATATAAGACTTTTAATTTTTTAATATTTTAAAAACTTTTTGTGTATAGTAGATGATACCCTTTTTTGAAAATGAGCACAACAGGTATGTACAACAATCAAAGAACGTAAATTTTTCTTTTTTATTTAAAGCAATGTAAACCTCTTCTAAATATATTGATAATGTTGTCATATTCCATTCATTTATTATAGTATTTATTAATGCCCAACTCCAGTCGACAACTATCACTGAAAATAATGGCCAAGTAAAATGTTTAGATTGTAAGAAACTGTGGAATGTTTTCAAGAATATGCTGCGACCACACTCACGAGCGTGGTGCCACTTCGTCGCGCGTTCGCGAGTATTGCTCTACCTCTCTTTAGTCGGTACCTTCACGACAACATTAAAAAGATTCAACGCCACAACGGCTTTCTCAAATTTTACATACTCTAAACTTCACGTCAATGATTGAGCGCCAGGCACGAGAGAGCGTGCCCCTCTTTCTTAAATCTTTTCTTACGTTCTCATTCGCAAATACAGAGGTGTAGAGAATCACAAACGCGGACGGCTCTAATAGCCGAGTGAAACTGCTCAGCCACGATAATGGAAGAGAGGATAGTTCGTGGTCGGGAACGGAGGATCTTTTGGAAAACGAGTACGGCGAGACAACAGTAAAGTAGGCAGAATTAATAACAATGAGATAATAACAAATATATTCTCTAAGTCAATTACACAGTTTCCGACATACAGGCAGACGGATTGATTCTGCGGCATGCAAACGCTCTAGCCTCCGCGATACGTTCTCGACACGCGGTATTAAGTAATCGCTTCTCTTCTCTGATGGACGAGCTCTCGATTCTAGCATAATTCTACGCGACGCATGTATCGCGGTTACGGAGATCCATGGCGCAGTTACGAAAATCTTCGGAATGCGTGAACACGCGAGAACATCCTCTGAAGTCTAGAATCTACTACGACGACGATAGTACGCGACACGAAACGGCGACGCAACAGTACGATACAAAATTACGGCACAACAATACGATACCAAATTATGACGATACGATACAGAATTATGATGCGTCGATACGATACAGAATGACCTAGCTGTGGCCGCGGCAGGCGTGCAAAATAACGGATTCGAAATTATAGGGAAACCAAGACGATATCAGACGGGATGGCACGATCACGCGGTG